CATGGCCCGGGCCGGCCTGGGCCGGACGTTCGAATGCTTGGAACCACGTTGACACCAGCAGGGCACCACCTGCAGTGGCTATCGTGGATCGCGGGCCAAGTCTTGACTTTTCCGAGTCGAGGCATGGAAGTGTGGGGGTCTGAAGAGTGCCAGCACGCCGCGGGAGGACGTACAGACCAACCAACACGAGTTACCCTCACTGGGTAAAAGCTGCTGGTATTCTGACGTGTTTACTTTTGGCCCTGCAAGTTGTGGCGGGCTCACGACGGGGGTGAGCTGGCCCGGCATTGCGAGGGGGGAGACGGAGGGACACACCTTGCATTCGAGAAATTTTCCTCCGCCGCGTCGCCGCGGATCTTTAATCTTTTAAAGGTCCCTGCCTCCCCATTGTGCTGCAGCGCTGCAGCAAGACCTCCGCCACCTTCCTCGGCTCCTCCTTGTTGTCGTTCCGCGTGCGCCGTCCATGGAGGCCCCTCGTCCCTCCACCTCGTCCTCCCCGGGCCTGCTGGCCCGGGCCCGCGCACCTGGATTGGGTTTCCGCCAAGGTGTTCTCGGTGTTCTCTGCGTGCCGGGGCTGCCGTGGGCTGCCGGGGCTGCCGGGGCCTGGAGCCCGGCTCGGCGGCCTGCCTGCCTGCCGGGGTCCCCGTCGTCCGTTGTGCGCGCATTCAGGGCGAAGGGCCCCGACGTGTGTTCGTTGGTCTCGGCCGGGCGGGGCGCGGGGCTACGCGGGGCGAGGGAGGCCAACCAAGGCATGTGCAGGTTTCGTCTTCTCGGGGCATTTAAAGAGGGCCGGGCAGGTAGTGCCAGCACACCTGGAGCTCGGCGTGCTTTGAGGCGCAGCGTCGCGCAGCAGCCGCGACCCGGGTGCCCGTCGTGCCACTGCCGTGCCAGTGTGCCTCCGTTTGGCGCGGGAAAATCGCGCAGCGCCAAGTCGACCACCGGGTTCGTCGGCACGTTTTGGACCTGGAGAAAAGTGGGAAATGGAACCTCTATGGTATCGGGCACCATGCGGGGGCTTGCGCAGTTGGGAAATGCGGCCAAAGTAGCCAACCTCTTGTCATAGATGCATTTTACGCCCGCCGTTGAGTCCGTCGGGGTCGGGGGGCCGCAGGGGGGGGGGGGATTCCGAGACTTGGCCATTTCTCTTTTTGGCAACAAAGTGTGCCCGCACCCCCACCCAGCCACCCAGCGAGACGGCCGCTCGGCCACTCGGCCAGCCCGGGGCGCTCGACGGCCGCCTTTGTTGGCTGTGGCACGCGCTGGTCCTGGAGCTGGCCGCCCTGGCCCTGCCGCCCTGGCCGTCGGCCGTTACGACTCCCCACTGGTCTTTCTGCACCTTGCGTCTGGCGGCCCGTAGCTGCGCCGGCCCGCTGCCGGAGTTGCAGCCTTGTTCGCCGTGCTCGAGGCAGCTCGAGGCTCCAGGGCCGCAGGGCCGCCGGGGGCACAGGCAGAGCACAGGCTGGCATGCGCCGGGCCACCCCGTCATCACCTGGCCGGCCTGGTGCGGGCGGGCCCAAGGGCGGGCCAGGCGGGCACCCTGGAGGTGGAGAAGGTGGAGGTGCCAGCCGTTACCACACCCACCACGTCGGCCCCGGCCCGGGTCGCCAAGTGGCCAAAAAGCTGGAGGCGCGCGCAGCAGACGATTCCGCGGGAGCCCCTCTCTCTCACTCGCACTCATGGTACGTCCCATAGGAGTACGACGGAGATGGACTGACTCGGCCGCACTGCGCAATCACTCTGCAGGGGCACATCCCCGGTGGATCCCCCTTCCCTGCCCCTTCCCGACCGCCGCTGGCAGTGCCCTCTCCCGGCATGGCCGCATCATTGCCACATCCGATGAACCGAATAATCGGCTCAATTAATTAGATGAGCGTCCGGCTGGCCGGGCTGGGCTGGCCGGGCTGGCGGGGTCGGCCCCGGGCCTGCTGCCCGCTGCGACGACGAGACGACGCTGATGATGATTGTATGGAAAACGTGAAGGCGGTCGGAGCCGCGACACGCCTCGGCCAAGCGCACCCCGTGTTCCCCGCTCAGTCCTGTCACGACGCCACGCCACTGAACTACGACAGATACAGAGAAAACATTCGGGTTGGGTTGGATCAAGCGCGCGACGCCCAGTGGCGAGGCGCGGAGTTCGTAAAAATGGTTTGTAAAATAAAATTTGCAGTGTGGCCTTTGACTGAGTGCCGCGGCAGCACCCTTGCCTCGCGACCGCAGGGACCGCAGGGACCGCACACGGCACCCAGTACCGCACCCCGGCAACTGCGTACGGCGCGCGGCCCGACCCAGCCTGTAATTAGGGTAATCGCAACCCTTTTGGCGCATTCAAAACATATCATGGCATTGAGGCTAATGGTGAGCCTTGGGTGGCTTGGCGTGCGACACCGGGCCGCGCCGCCACGCCGTCCTGCCCGCTGGGACGCAGCCTCGACCGGACGCACGGGGGGTCTCGCGGCCAGCACGCAGTGGGCCTGAAGACCGGTGGAGGCGGCCAAAATTCTAGACGCATTTTAAGCTCGATTCTGTTTAGCGACTCTGGAGAAAAAAAAAACGCGTCTGGGATCTTTGACCGCCTCCACCGGTTTTCTGGCCCACTGTGCAACAAAAAGCAGTGACGAACAAGGATCAAGAGTGGTGATTGGTGGCCACCTACAGACCAGTCGTTCGAAACCTTCGCAAGAAATCCTGTAAAATGCTCTTTGCCTAAGAAATGCTCTTGGCCTGTGATGCTTTTTGTCCTGGAGTAATGCTTTTGGCCTGGAGAAATGCACTGGCCTGAAGAAATGGTCTTGACCAGAAGAAATACTCTTGGCCCGAAGAAAGACTCTTGGCCAATGCTTTTGGCCTGAAGAAATGCTTTTGGCCTGGAAAATTGGTCTTTGGAACGAGATATTTCTAAACAGCTTGTCCTAAACACCACTGGAAAAAGTGACTTGGCCGCAGTTTCGTTGTCGTGCAAGATCCGTAACCGTGTGCGAACGGATTTGAACCGTAACTCCTGGGTCGTTTGCCGTGCAGACCGCACGCAGCACGCCACGCGAGAGTGCCGCGGTGTCCGTGTCCGACCGCACGCGACTGCAGCGACTGCAGCGGGGAAGGGAATTATGTCGCTGCCAATAATTTCATATAATTATCGGCAGCGATTGTGGTGTACCGCCATCCAGCTTTCTAGGCTTGTGTGTGCGTGTGTGTGCGTGTGCCCTACACCGCACCGTGTTTTCCGGATTGATTTCTTTCATGTTAAAGTAATGCTCCTGTGATTAAATTTAAAGACATCCGCGCGGCGCACGTTGGGGGGCGGAGCCGGTCCTTTGTGCGGCACTGGCACACACGCGTCGACGGCGAGGGGAGGGGGAGGGGGTGGCGCGACGCCGAGCTGTGCGGTCAGACTTGGCGCTGGCCAGAAGGGATTAGTTTTCAGTGGGCCGGAAACCAGACAATTTTTAAAACGTGGACGCAGGAATGGAACAAAAACCAATAATGAAATGAGGCACGGACATATGGACTCGCGTGTACGAACGTGTGTAATCGAGGCAGTTGGGCTAAGTAAAGCAAGGGGTTAAGATTGATGGGCCGTGAGCCCGGTACTGCCGCACCGCGGGCACGGCGGGCAGGGGTTCCCCTGGGTTCCCCGAAATCACTCATGGCCAGTGCAGGCCCAGTGCAGGCCCAGTGCAGGCCCAGTGCAGGCCCAGTACGTCACGGTCATGGTACACGGCAGATGGTACCTGTGGGTGCGCCGAAGGGGTGCGCCAGACTTAGCCGCAAGCTGCTTGCTTGCGCGCCATGCCGTCCCGCCGACCCGCCAGCCTCGCGCTGCCTCGCGCTGCCTCGCGCCAGCCGCAGGGGGGCGGCAGGGGCAGGGGGCGGAGGCAACTTCCCCACCACCCCATCAAGACCATCAAGACGGCACCCCTTTAAATAAATAGATATTTGACGGCGAAATGTGTTCGGCGGCCCGCCTCGGCCCGGGCCGCCATATGGCACGAAACGCCCTTCCCTTCCGCCGCCCTTCCCAATTGATTCCCGATCGTTTTCACGCCGGCCGCAAGCTGCACGGCCCTGGCCTTGGCCCTGGCCTTGGCCCTGCCGGCCGCGCTGGCCCTGGAGCAGCCCCATGGCGTACCCCTCCGGCCCCTCCGCCACAGCGCCGCGACCATGCCGTCGACGGCCGTCAAGGGGGTCGTGGTCAGCCGATCCAGTCCGATCCCTTTCAGAGCCACTCGTTTGTTTCCGGCAAAGTCAAACTTGATCCGCTCGGCTCGAGTGGAAATGCGCAAACACACAGGGAGCGGCGACGCGCTGCCGGGCCGCCCCGCGGGGCCGCGCATTGCCCCTCCCCCTTCTCTCTCCCTCTCTTGATTACTCTGGAAACGGGGCAATTAGGACGACGAACTCGCGGCTTGTCTTTTCCCGCAGACTCCTCGGCGGCGAGTCAGTCAATGCTCGGCGCGGCACGGCGTCACACCTGCGGCCGGCCTGACGGCCCACGCCACGGTCCGGCACGGCCGGCCGGCCCCGCCACCATCTGCCAACCCCGATTGGCCTGATCCACCAGGTCCGTTTGTCGCTGATACGCCTGCCGTGTTTTATTTGCGATACAGCGAGCTTGCCGATATGTAGCCAACTCTGCCATAAACTTGCTGTGCGGGCAGTACACACTTGACGCACAACGACTTCTTGTAGTGCTGGCGGGGCGGGGGCAGCTGGGGGCCGTCGCACGGTCCAGCGGCGCGCTACAGCGCCGTCTCTGTGCCGGGCTGCAAACGTTCTGCCGGTCAGCGCCGTGGCCGAGGCCGTGGCCCTGGTCGAGGTCGGCCCAGCTCGGCCCAGCCGCTTTCGGTGCTGGACCAAGGCACGGCCCTGACCTGCGCCCTCGCCGCGAGCACCGCGACACGCGCCCCCGGCGAGTGAAGATGTCACCCCGGCGCAAGGCGCGCAAGGCAACCACCTGCTGCGCCACCCCCTGCGGGGCCCCCACCCCTCCCCGCCAGCACTGGCCGCTAGCTTATCGCGCGAGCCGATGCGCGGGGCGCCAGTGCCATCAAGCAGTGCGGCAGTGCGGCTGGAGGCATGGCGCTCGTCGTCGCGGTCCTGCTGGGTGAGTCTCGGACTACGCGGTCGTTGGCGACCTAGTGCGGCGTGTTTGGACGGACTTGTTGTCCCAGGGATGTGCGCGGTGGTCGCGGCCCCGGACTCGGACTCTGTGGCTGGTCCCCCCGAAAAGTTCTGCTCATGCATCACCACTGGCGGGGTGCACATCACCTTCGATGCCACCATTTTCTTCCCCTACGAAAACGGGCAGGTACAGTGTGCGTGGGAGGCTGGGGAACGTTGAAGCTGTCTCGTGTATTGCAACTGGCTTGGTCCACGACTCAGGGCATAGCTGCAGTCATCCACGTGCCCGCATCTGCAGAAGTGAACCTGCTCTGCGAGTCTTCGAACGCCACGACGCAGGTCGTGTCCGTCACCTGGACGTCGTGGAACCCTGACGATGAGCCCACAAGTGAGCCACCATGCTGTCAGCGGACCAGGAAACATTTTCCACTTTTGTTTATTGACTAATTTCGTTCAGGCTCATCGGTCCCATCGACTATGCCACCAAACATCCAGACTAGTCCAAAGACGGAGACTTCCACCCTAGAGCCGACAGCGCGTCCAAGTCCAAGCCCTAGCACAACGGCCGCGGCAACTGTCCCACCGACGCAGACGACCCAACAGTCAGCCGGGCCGACGTCTACGGCTCCGACTACCGCCAAAACATCGCCTGCGACTCAGAATACAGCCAAAACATCGTCGGTGACTAAAAATACAGCGGAGACATCACCTGCAACTCAGCAAACAACTCAGACATCACCTGCAACTCGAACTACAGCCGACACATCGCCTACGACTCAAAATACAGCTGAGACGTCGACTGTCCCCCCGACGACAGCCGACACATCGCCTACGACTCAAAATACAGCTGAGACGTCGACTGTCCCCCCGACGACAGCCGACACATCGCCTACGACTCAAAATACAGCTGAGACGTCGACTGTCCCTCCGACAACAGCCGACACATCGCCTACGACTCAAAATACAGCTGAGACGTCGACTGTCCCCCCGACGACAGCCGACACATCGCCTACGACTCAAAATACAGCTGAGACGTCGACTGTCCCCCCGACGACAGCCGACACATCGCCTACGACTCAAAACACAGCTGAGACGTCGACTGCCCCCACCACGACAGCCGAAACATCCCTTACAACTCAAAACACAGCTGAGACGTCGACTGCCCCCACCACGACAGCCGAAACATCCCCTACAACTCAAAACACAGCTGAGACGTCGACTGCCCCCACCACGACAGCCGAAACATCCCCTACAACTCAAAACACAGCTGAGACGTCGACTGCCCCCACCACGACAGCCGACACAACGCCTACGACTCTGCAAACAGAGGCTCCAACTGAAGGAAGCTCGTCCATACCACCAAACGTCATCAAAAGAGATGCGTTCCAGGCAAACCATCAGAGAGCAAGAACCCACGTTCCCTGGTTCGAATACGGCGTGATAAAAAACGAAATCATGTTCTGGTTCATGCGCGACGACGAGGACTTCTTCCTCGCCAGAGTGTACACGAGATTTCGAGTCGGGTCGATGGGTGACGTCACTCGAGTGTACACGCACACCAGCGACGTCAAAGTGTGGGTCACGCCGTTCGGGAAGACCACGAACTGCGCGACCGAGACGAAGCTGGGTGATGCGGTCAGCGGAACGCTCTCCATCAAGGCGCTCAAGCTCTCCGCCTTCATCCCAAAGGGCTGCGATCTCCCCGAAACCTCTTGTGAGTTTTACTTCATATCCAACTACGTACAGTATATTGGCAAACCACCTCGGGCGGATGTGTGTGACTGTGGCGTGTTGCAGATTACGCGTGCGCGCCGAAAGTGCCCGACGACGACACCCCGACCAGCAAGGGGACGCTGGGAGGCGTGCTGATCGCCGGCATCATCTTGGGGACCTTCTCGGCGGTCGGCATCGTGTGGCTAGGCGCACGCCGCCTGTACATCGCGTACAGCGCCATGAGGGCGAAGCGACAGCAAGACGTGCTCTAGGAGAAACTACAGCAGGGAAAACGAAAAAGTAAATAAAAGTGCTGATAAAGGAATTCTTATGGTTGTAGTTTATTAAAGATTATCACATTCTAGTGTCTATTTGTCAATGAAATCGCAGGTAAAATTGGGTAGCAACTTTCTTTTGAGTATGTTTTGATGCACACGACGTCACGTGGAACACAAGAGACGCGGTGCCGCCGCGAAGGCCGCAGCCAGAAGGACGCATGCAGTGACGCCGCCGGAAACGCCCAGGATGAGCGGCAAGTCCGAGGCCTCTGTGGCAAAGCACCCGCTCGCTGAGGACAAGGAGGATATGGTGTAAATTCACTGCTTTAGACACACTGGAGTAACAAGGAAGAAGCCACACCGTCTTTCACTTACTAATCTCCGGCACTATTGACGTATCGTTGGCAGTGGAGTACTGAACGTAAAAGTCTGTCAAGTTGATGGCTCGTTTGGACGGGTTGCACTCTTCGGCTCGGACTGGGGCACTTGCTTTGTGTGCTTTGGCCATCACTTTGCTGGCCGTTGCGGGACATGAGTGGTCGTCGGGAGGATTATTCGTCCCCTAAAACAATTCGGTTTTTTCACCTGCTGAGCTGTTATATGGGAAGAAACCTGGGTCGACTAATGTTGTTTGTACTGACCATACATAGCATATCTGAAGCTATAGGATGGCTACATGTTACTGCTCCATTGATGTTACCCCTGACTCCGGTTAATTCACTGTACCAAGACCATGTCCCTAAACAAACAAACAAATGTTGGAAAATGTCGGGGGAGGCCTAACACTGAAGACAGGTAGTAGATTACCTTCATAGTATTGAATTTCTCTGACATTGAAGGTCTTCGACGAGCTGTAACTGTCTACGTAGATGATCAAATATTTCTTATCCCAATGCAAGATAACGGGATGTGAAGAGGACTGATCGCACCAACTACAGATTTGCGCAACATCTGGAACGACCTGAAAGAGAAAGCAATTAATGATGAAAGCGGCTGCCACTTGCACAAGGACCCGATGTAAACAAACCAATCAATTGCTGCTACACACTTCACTGTCGATCTTTATGGTCCCACCCACTCGAAGACATCGCGGCTCTGTGATCCAGTCGGCAGCAACAGCTAAACCCAAAGCAAGCGTCCAATTTGTAGTTTTCGTGCAAAAATAATATTTGTGAGCCGGAATGGCACAAATAGGTAAATACAGACTTAACTTTAATAAAATTTCAACACAGAAGTTTCCAAGTCGAATTCGAATTCTCTCAAAGACAAGTATTAATTAGAAAGAGAATTTAAAGAATTTGAGAGAACTTAAATACAGACATTACGAAACAGACTAATTTACTTTGTTATACGAAGAAATAGTTCGTAAATTAAGAAGTATTTTCTTTGTAAGCTTATGTTTGCTCAAAATACTTTGTTACCACAAACTCTTTTCTTTGTAAGGCCTAAAATAGTTTGTAAGGTTTTCTCAGTGGATAAGTTCGGCCCGTCGGTGGGCGCACCCACCGACCACTTGAGCCAAACATTTTCCAAGTGGCCGAAAACTGCACCAGGGGGCTCGGGACTTGCCTGCGATGAGGAGCAGCACCGCCGTGGCGGCGTGGGTCCCCGTCGTCGTCACCATCGCGGTAGGACTGAGTGCCGCCGCACCGCTCTGCCGGGGCGCTGCGAGGCTATCTCGCGCGTTATCGCCCGCTATCTCACCTGCCCTGCAAAGCCCTTGCCATTCCGTCTCCGCGGACGCAAATTCGGTAGACTTCCGGTTGTGCTCTAGGGAGGAGTGACCTAGTGTCACCTAGTGTCACCACGGTGAGAGCCCCCTGCAGACACAAGTTAGCCGCCTGGAAGGGCCACAAATCCCGGGCAAAACAGATATCGAAGTAACTGGCAGGGGGATGCAAACCGCCCAGTCCCACGTAATCTCACCTATTCCCACGCAATCCCACGAAGTGTCAAGTAGCCCCGCGTAGTCCCGCGTAGTCCAGCGCAATCCTCGTAATCTCGTAGTCTTGTGCGCGTCAAAAACTCGAGTGGTAGCCCTCTCGGGCAGGCGGGCACGTGAGAGGGAATCTAAGAGGATGAGAGGAGAGAACGATAGCGCCACTCGCCATGTCGTTCCTCCCAAGTACACGCCAGCGTGCCCCCCCCCCCCCCAAACCTAGATAACGCCTCAAATGTAGGCAAGCAAGTAGGTAAAAAGTGCCACTTTGCCCCCCTCCCCCAAAGGCCGCCTCTGGATCCGCCACTGACTGCACCTCCGCGCCAACTTGTGCCTACAGTGTCAAAGAATCGGCCTCCAAAAAACTCGGTCCCCGAGTGCTGTTCGTCCTGGCGCGTTGGGCTGCAGAGCTGGACCCGCCTTGCTTTGCCTGTTGGTTCAAATCCCCTTCCGGCCGAGACTCAAGCACCCTCGCCACAGTGTATGCGCAAGGAGTCCAACCGCCGTTTAATTGTTTCTCAAAAAGCGGCGCGGAATGGATGGAAGGCAAAAAGAAGGCCGCGGATGGAATCGCGATGCGATGACGAAAAGGCGAAAAGGCGCGGGGCGACGCCGCGAGGAGGCCTGCGCCTCGGCCTGCGCCGAGGAACGCCGCGGCGGAAACGCAACGCGGCGGAAATGTCGCCAGTTTTTGCCTTGATACGTCAATCCGCCGTTTCCGTTCATTAGCATAGCTGGTGCGGATCCTCTCTTTTTTTGCCTTCTTTTTTCTCGCGAAACTGTTTGAGGTGCTCGCCCCCGCAGCCTGCGCAGCCTGCGAGGAAGCGCTGCCGCTCACCGCTTTTCCGCGCGAATGGACCCAAACCGTCACGTCGCAGCATCTTGCCCGCCCGGCCCGCCGCGGCCTAATTAGCCTCCTATCCCCGGGAATCTGGCCCGCACGCCGGACCGGAGGCCGGACCGGAGGCCGGGTGGTGAGCACACACGGACTGCATGAAGGACATCCATCAATGTTCGCGCCAACCGCCGCGACGCGCCGACGCCGCGACACTCCGGCCGTGTGAACATGACGGACGAGTAGAGGCGCTGGCTACGCTGAGGCTGGCCTGAAACGCCTCTAATTTATAGCGCTTCCCCCTTTTTCCTTTTTTCTCGAAATCCGCCCACAAGCTGCTGCTGCGCCGCTGCTCTCTCCAGAGGGCTGATGAAATGGCATCCCAACCGTCCCGCTCCTATCCGGCGGCAGGGCGGCAGGAAGCGGGCCGCCTTTTTATTTTATTCTTCTTTTTTTATTCTCCTTTCGCCTTCTTTCTCGGGGCCTCTTGTATCTCACGCAAAACGCACACTCTTTGAAATGCCTTTCAGTATCACAATTACGGCCGCCGAATTTTCCTTTCTTGTTTTCGCAAGCCGGATGTGCCGATATCTTCCGGACTGCCGTGCCACTCTTCGACACACGCAGTGAAGCACCCTGCGAAAAGCCAGCAATAACAGTGTAGTGTGGTGGTCGGCCCGGCGGCCCGGCCACTGACGTGGCCACTGTTTGCCCAACGTGTTCCAGGAAGGCCCTGGGCACGTGGCCGCTGGTGCCGCTGGCCGCGGTGCAGCGGATTCCCAGCCAGTGGGTCAGCGCGGCGGAGCGGACTGCATTGCCCCTGTCGTCGAGAGCATAGGCAGCCCAACCAGCGCGACGGCGCGCCGGGAGTGCAGACCTTTCCCGCCACTCATTCCCATTACCACTACGGGCTAGCGCCGCGGGGCGGGCCCTCGGGCGGGCCACTGTCAGGCCGTCAATGAAGCCCCCCGAACTCGCCGCCAAGTCGCCTTCCCGCCTCTTCCCAAAAGGCGCGGCGACGGCGCGACAGTCTTCGCGCCGACTTCCTGGAGAGGACGGGACGAGTCGCGCGGGAACGGGTAAGGCTCCCCTCCCACACCAGCCACACACACACTCACGGCTATGCACAAACACACACGCGGGCTAAGTAAGCGAGCCGCACATCATCTTATTGAGAAGGAGCCGCGGGTGACCTTCAGCGCTGTCCTCCTGGCGGGGCTGGCGGGGCGGGGCGGGTTGGCAAGGCGATCCCATCAGCTGTGACGAGACGCGTCGCGTTTTGGCGGGCTTTGCCGCTGGCTTGTGGCCGTGGCTGAGTGCGGGGGTGGCGGGTGGTGCGCGGCAAGAACCAGCGGTAAGTACGTGGATACACGTGTGATCGATCGTCGAGTGGTTCAGTGGTCGAGGCAGCGAGGCAGACAAAGAGGCGCTGGAGGGAAGGGACGGTGCCGCACTGCCGCGATGACCGGTGCATCATCGGCACACCCTGCAGCCCCCGGCAGCCCTGCCTGCCTGCCTGCAGCTTCACCAGCTGCCGGGCGGCCCCCGCGACCCCGCCCCGCGCCCCGCCCTGGCGGTGAGACGTTAACCATCAAACCGCGACTAGGGCTGTCCAAGTCCACCCTCTCCGCGAGGCGCTGGCGGTGGTCACGACGACGACGGGGCCACGGCCACGGCCACTCCCGCGGTCCGCGGTGGCCCGGTGTTGCGCCAAGCCCGGCCAAGCTCGGCCAAGCCACCCCAGACGTCACCTTGACGGCGAGCTTCCCGCCCTGGTCTCAACGCTCGCCGCCCCGCGAGGCTGTGACCTTGGCAGCCCTAGTGAGGTTCGGCCTGCCCTGCCCTACCCCGGCCAGGCACGCCGTGGCACGCCAGGCTGCTGCAGGATGGGATGAATAGATCGGCACAGGTAAGAGATGCGACCGTTGATGGTTGCGTGGGCGGGGCGGGGGCGAGGCGGGGGCGGGGGACGGGGACAGACGCACTCTGCACCCAGCAACACGCCGGCCGGCACGGCGCGCCGCACCGGCTGTGCCGGCTCCACGCCGAGACGACCGTTGAGTTTGAATCGCACAGGAGCGGAGGGGAAGTTGGTGGGGGCAGCGAGTCGCGGCTCGCCATTGGCTGCGGCCTGCGCGCCACCGGCAGCGCGGCGCGAGGGGAGGCCAGCAAGGCTTGGCCCCGAACCGAGCCCGCGCGCGAGCCGCGGCCGCGGCCGCGAGCCCAGCCCGCCCCGGTGTTCATTCCGTACCGGACCAGCAAGAGGAGGGTGTCGTGCTCCGCGCCGCCGCCACGCCCATGCAGCTCGCGAAGTCCAGCCGTCGTTAGGATCGTCCATGTCGTGCATCGCGCTGCCGCCGTCCGCCGCCAACATGCTCACGCTGAGCCAAGTGTCCTTGCTCGTGTCCAGGACGTCGTCGTTCAGCCAGGACGACAACAACAACGTCGGCTGTGGCGCCCTCGCGCTCAAGATGATGTCATCGCGGTGCTCCGCCGTCCGCACGCCCAGGGCCTTCGTCGCGCCGTCCGGCCCCAAGCGCTGCCTGTTCGGCGCCCCGTCCGCCGCCGACACGCAGCGCCTGCTGCGGGACGACCAGGACGCCGTCAAGGCCAGGATGCAGCGTCGCTGGGGCTGGGACATGAGCCGGGAAGCCCCGTCCGCGGCGCCGTCGTCATGGCAGTGGGAGCCCGTCAAGGCCGGCAAGGCGCGGCGGCACCCCTACGCCGTGCGTCCGTCAGCGACCAAGGCCGCCGCCTCTCCCGTGCACGCCAACACGCCCCTGCCCGCCCTGGTGTCGCCCCTGCCCGCCACGCCGACCGCCGTCTTGGACTCGTCGACCGCCTCGTCGTCGTCAGGAACGTCCACTCTGTCGCCGTCATCGCCGACATCGCCCGCCCTGGCCCACCTGTCTTCACCCACCGTCCTGAGGAGGCCGAGGACGCCGACGACGCCGGAGTCGTCGTGGGAATCCGAGTCGGACGACTCCTGCTGCGGAGACTCTGGCTGCTCCAGTCCACGCCCCCACGACGCGGGCCACCACGCGGGCCTGGGCCCCCACAGCGTGCCCGTCCAGACCAGAATCACAGGTGAGACTCGTTTCCATTTTGCGCGCCAAAGCGGCCAAAGCCACTTCGGCCTCTCTGGCGGCCCCTGCCCGGCTCGGCCAGGCCCGGCCCGTCCCGCGGGACACGGACACAAGACGGTCATCCCCAGCATCGCCCGTTTGCGCGCCAATCGTGCCGGCCCCTCTGACGTCACACCTCGTCACGCCTCGTCACGTCACGCCCTAGCCCGCGTGACTACCTGCACGCCCTGCCCCGCCGTGCACTCCGTGCTCTCGAGGTCCTATCACTTCCCGCGCCTCCGCGCCCAGCGCGCGGCCCGCGCTCACGTGCAGTTTGAAAAAGCCGTTGGAACTTTTAAAAGGGCTGCGGCCGGAGGGGAGGGAGGACGCGCGAAGGACGGCGGCCGGGTGGGGGAATGGCGCGGAGCGCGCGGTGCGGTGGGGTGGGGTCGGGTGAGGCCAGGGAGGGAGGGGGGGCCGCTCCCCTTCCTCGCTTCCTCGCTTGTATCCGGGTTACCAACTTGGCGGCCTTTCGGTCGTCTTCAAATTTTGGAGGGAATTTCGGAGCCAGCCAGAGTCGGTGGTGTCGTTCTCCTGCTTCTCATTCGCTGCCAAGCTGCCGCGCCAATGGCCCTCCTGAAGGTGTTCCCGCAGGCCCCCTTGACCGCTGCGCTTCGCGTCGCGACACTGGCGAGGCTAGGACAGCCACTCTTATCGATCCTCCCAACTTGTTGATTGAATTATCCCCGACAAGTACACTGCAATGCAAGTACGCAGCAAGTGCAGCTCTACCTGGGGTGCGTCTCCAAGTCTCGAAGGAGGAGGGCGGACTCCTGGCCCTCGCCCTCCGGCACGGCCGGCACGGCGGCCGGGACAGGTTCAGCATGTGGAGCACCCGGAGCTGCACCCTGGGTCCTGCTCGCAGTCCGGCCGACCTCGCCCTTGGGCTCGCCCTGCACACACGCTCACACACACAGACACACAGACACACACACACACACACACACACACGAGGCCCTCCCTTTCTTTCCTCCCCTCGGCGTCGCGACGCGCTTACCTGCAAGACACGCGACGGCGCCTTCCCCCGCCCCGCCGTGCCCGCCACGCGACCGCCCCGCCCCGCCCCGCCACACCGGCCCGACACTAAATTGCTTTGCGGTGGTAAATCACTGCGCCGACGGTGACGCGGTGCGCGCGGTGCACCGACCCAGTCAACTGCCGTCTGCGGGTTTTGGGTTTCTTTTCTTTTTTGTTGGGAACTAAGCCGGGGAGGCACCACGGGCTTATCTTTGAGCTTGTTTCGTGACGACATCCTTTGTTTCTGTTTTGCAGACTTCTGGAGGACGAGACGGTGTTCGACGAGCGAGTCCATTGTCAAGACTGGCAACGCGTCGCCAGCCCCGGCCCGGCCACCGGCCCGGCCCTGCTCCGTGTCCGTCTAGCTGCGAAGCTAGCGAAGCTAGGCGACCTCAAAGGCCCAGGCCAGCAGGCCGCCTCGTGAATTGACTTCCTATGCCACAGCTAGTCAGGGATCGTGCACCAACTCCTCTTGAGTTTCTGCATCCCCCCCATTCGTGGCATGGGGACTCTAATTTCAGACGTTTAGCTATAGTTGTTGTCTATGACATATCAGAGTTATTCGGAGTTTGTGGGAGCTACGCGCTGTGTCGGACTTTGCCGCCTGTTTTTGGGACCCTGATCGCCGGGCACGACTGCTTGTGATAGTTCCTGAGGAAAGATGACGAGGGCGATTGGGAAAGCCATTGTAAGAGCTTCGCTTGGAAGCGCGGGAAGTAGCCTATTGTCGCTGATTTTTTGGACTTATTTCCGATACGTCGCCAGAGCGGACCGACCTGTCATTCTTTCCTTGTACTTTATTTTGTTTGTATGTAGATTTCTTCTGAAGTAGCTCAGAGCTTGGTACCAAAAAAGGCGATGCAGTCTTTTGAAAGAAATGCTCCGGGAATACAGGGAACCTTTGGTAGTCCACGGGAAACGAAACAGTCAGAAAGCACGAGGCACTCTGTTTCCGTTCCGTGGATCAATTTCATTTGGTTCATGTCTTCTTGGAGTGCATTTCACCTTTTCTAGTCGAATGTGGCAATCTCTACGCTTTCAACGAATCATTCGTTTTTTGAAATTTAGTTTTTATGATATTAGCAAATGATGAACTTTTGTTAGCTCTGATTAAAGAGCAATGGGAACGATGCATCCTATTTGTAGACCAGTTTCTGCGGATTTCGCTAGCTTTCGCAGACGTGTCCTGTTTGCAATTTTGTGCCACAGGACTCGTGTGCAAGACCTCGATAAACATCCTTTTTACTTTGTCCCTGTTTACGCTTCTATTTCTTAGTTTGTGTTGATTACTGGTTTACCAATGCGATCGCACGTAGTCATGAACTGTCACTGACACAGTTACTGGCTTCTTTCTAAGATAATTATCAAAATGTAGTAGTAATAATTTGCTCACCGCAAACACAACATCATTGTCAGCAATATTATTGTGTGTAAATTTCTCATTCTGTCTTATTTTTTTGTATTATGTTGGACTGACTGAATATGTTATAGATGATTCCCAACGAAAGTATAAAATACATTTAATAAATCAATTATCAAATTTAACTTGCGTTCCAATTTACCCCAATTTGATCATGAATGATACTAAACACGTCAGACATGAATGAACGCGAGACGCGTCGTTCCATTTCCAACAATTTCTTGGAAAAAGCAAACATGAAACGCAAAAGAGAGTGCTTGGGAGAGTAGGCGCGTGCGGTACTACCCGCAGCGAGTGGCGCGCCATCTGCCGGGGAAAGGGAGGCCGATTAGCCGACACTGCCGGCACAGCACGGCCTCGAAATCGATACTCGCCCAGAGAGGCCCAATCCAATTAGCTAAAAAAAATATATATATTTAAAAAAAATGTTATTCTGTTGGAGCATAAAAGAATTTAGCCCAGAGATTGTCCGATGACTGTTTGCAAGTGTACAGTTGGCACACTCCACCCGCCGCAACCCGTCGCCACGCACGCATGCAAGCGCATCACCCAAAACCGCAAGACGAAGACAAAACACTTGGGGCCGGCGGCCACGCGCGCTGTGTGCTGTGTGTGTGTGTGTGTGTGTGTGTGTGTAAGTGTGTGTGTGTGGCAGATGACACGCCGCCGCACGCGTCTGCGATCATTCGCGTCGTTCGACCGGAGCGGGCCGGAGCGCCGGAGTCCGGTATCACCTTGCCCGGAGGCCTGGAGCACGTGGCGCGCGTGATGCGGTACGTCGGCGGTAAGGCACACCGTGGCACACTGGGCGGCAGGCCGCGGCCACGGGCAGGTGCTTCCGGGGGGCATCGGCTGGCGGCACCGCGGCGTGCCTGTCACTCGTAGCACCGCAAAACACGATCCAGTCAGCTCCATGCTTGCGGGGGCGGGCCGCTCAGCCTGCCGAGCATGGGGGGCACTCCTCGCGGGTCGCATGCCCGCAGCAGGCCGACGCGTCGACCAGACTACGCGACTATCGGCCACGGTAACGAAGTGAACGAAGCGACAATGCTGCCTTTCAAAGCCTATTTTAGCAACCCCTGCTCGCGGTGCCCGCATCAGCCCAGCCTGGCCCAGCCTGGCCCAGCCACCCGCGCCCATGCCAGTGGCATGCCTGCGTTGGGGGTGTCTGGGTGTCCTCGTGGACGGCAGTCGGAGCATCAAGTTCAAGCCATAGGGGTTCCAACTCGCCACCGCATGTACAGTTTTGGGCCGTGACCCGAGCTGCGGATGTGAAGCATGTGAAGCCGGCCCCCAGCCGGCAGGCTTGTCCCTTGGCCCTTGGCTGGCTGGGGACGGGACGCTGGCGTCACTCTATCGGCCCAAAACACCGCAGAACGCTCGAAAATGAGCCGCGGCCGCCACCGCCATCGTGGACTCCAGGATGGCGGCGACGAGCCCGCCGACGCCAAGCCGCCGCCATGACGCCGTCGGAAATCAGGAGCCATGAAATGTATTCCGCTGCCGGCTGGCCGACGCGTCGCGTTTTAATACATGCGGGGCGGGGCGGGGCGGGGCTGCCGGATGACTCTGCACAGGTAGCACGCGCTGTGCTGCGTGCCGGCCGTGCCGGCGTGGCACGTCGTCGTCGTGGTGGGTCTCGGTCCGGAAGAAGGAGGCAGGCAGGGTGCGGCCGCCACGCCGTCGGCGCACCCGCGCGGGTCGCTCCGCCAGTGTTGGCTCCGCCACTGGTTCCGAAAAGCGGGAAGGCATGCCAAAAACGCCATTCATTTATTTCTGCACGACGCGTCGCACCGCCACGCACCATTTCGTTTGCCAATCACAACAAACACATGGCGGCCCTAATGGTGACGTCTTGGTTGTGCAGCACGTCCACGTCCCGCGGTAATGGAGCGTGATTCGCCGTGATGGTCGTGATGGCCGTCATTGTCGTGCAACATTTCCAGCCGGGGTGTCGATGAGTGCCGATCGGATGAATAAACGCCTTTCTCGCGGCCCGTCTCGCGGCGTCTCGCGGCCCGACAGCCGATTCATCACCATCAGCCCCACCCCGCCCCGCCCCGCCCCGCCCCGCCAGCCGACAACACATGTCCCAAGGTCGGGGGTCAGGCCGAGGCGGATAAATCAGGCCATCTGAATCGACTGCGTCTTTTCGATGTCGACGCGAACGCCGTCGTCGAGTGTCGGGTCTGAAATCCAAGTCGAGAATGGTCCAATCGACTGCTGGGTTCTACCCGGTCGGCATGCACGTAAGTGGTTCCGGCCGCTGCTGGACCATCCCGGGCCCACATCCAGCCCCCTCGCAATTAAGGCCGCATTATTCGTTGATGAAGTGATCGGAGTCGCACTATTCTGTCGCCATTTGCATGTCTAGCTCCCCTCGCCGCGCCTTCCCAGACTGGCCGAGCCGGCCCGACCAGAACCACCGTGACGAGGCACTATTTTGACTATTTATAAAAATTACATCATACCAACCCTTTTTGCTTTCCCCTTTTTCTTTATTTTCTTTTTTTCCTTTCGCACAGCACGGGCAAAGATTCGAAATGAGATAGGTTTGGTTACTTTTTTGCGCGCCGGGGAGGAAAGCTTTCCAGAAGGTGAAAAGAAGGCGAAGTAAAAACAAGAGAAAGGAGGGACAAAGAAAAGCGTTAAATCGCGATGAATATCATCAAGTGGCGGTAATCGCCATCAGCACTCGAAACCGGAACACAACGGGCAAGGCGTGAAACGGTCACCTCGGGGCGGGGACGCGCGGGGACGCACGGGGACAGACAGACCTCCCTTTCTTCCAGACTCCTTTCCTTTCCTTTTCGGCTGGCTGCCTGCCTGGCTGCCTGCCTGGCTGCCTGTGCCACACCCCCTCGGCTGCCCCGCCGCTCGGTGACTGTCACAATACGACGCGCCGCGGCCAGATTCGGCGATAACAGACACATGACGTTGGCGCGCGCGTCAAAGCGACAAACCGACGACGGAGACGGGCGGGCGATCGCGATTCCGAGATCGAGATGGCCGCGACGTCGCGACGCGACGCCGCGAACAGGCCCGGCAGGCCGTCAGGCAGGCCCAGCCCGCGCGGAGGCTTTGTTGGCGGCACGGACGGATACTCTCGGGCACTGCATCATGGCAGCGAACACGGCGAGCACCGTCATCATGGTGAGCACGACGATGCTGGTGACCGCGCGGAGGGCATCCACGAGGACCGACCCTGCTCTGACCCGACCCGGCCTCGGTGCTCGGCCGTTTGTCTCGATGATCTCGCACCGGATGTCCAGCGTTCGAACCCCTGCTGTGTCCATTAGCTCCTTCGGCACTTTGGCACCCCCTGGGCATCCACCACGGCCTCCACCGCCTCGCCGAAAGGCTTCGCGGCGTCGCGGGCGCGCGGGAGATGGACGCGGGCCGGCGCGATAGCGCGCACACCGCGCGGCGCACCGGGGCCATATGGCGGCGTCCTCCGCGTTCGCCGCGTTCGGTCGGAATGTTAACAGCTCTTATCTGATCGGACGTCGCGTCACCCCGCGTCGCGTGCCGCGCCATGCCGCGCCATGCCGTGCTGGCGGTGCCGGCTCGATGGACCTCGAAGATGTAAATGCGGACCTGTGGCCGCCAGGAGGCCGTCAGGAGGCCGCCAGGAGGCAGGACGATCTGACTCGGCCGTCGGCAGCCGCAGCGCCGAGCTAAGCGGCCCGCCAATGGGAGGCAGGTGTCGTGCCATGAATGTACCATTTGGAGAAAAGTACCTAGGGGTACAGCCATCGTGCTCTGGTTGTACCCACCCTGGTAGGCTGCACACCCCGGTACAGTCATCTTTCGGGTATACTGTACATCCATCATCCCACACCGGCCAGGAGGACTGAACGAGCAAACGTGCGAACCGAAGAAGCGCGGCCGCTCGACATGGAATCCAGCAACATTTGGCAACTGGTCTGAGTCTCTGAGTTTGTTCGAGTGTAGAAGAAGAAGCGCAGCAATCCCGTCTCGTCCCCCAGTGCATCCAGTGCATCACGCGTGCGGCCGCGAGTGGCGCGGGCAGCCAGGCGGCACTGGCCGGCAGGGCAGGGCGGCACCGGCAGAGCTGGCAGCACGCAGCACGCACGGCGCGGGCCGGCCGGCCGAATTCATTCCGGTAGAGTGTCCCGGAAGAGGAAAGACAGTCCGCGAGTCCGGCGAAAAAGGGAAGGTTGCTGTACGGCTGTACGGGGTGATCCCGACTCGCTTCCACTGAAAATGAACCGAATCGCCGCTTATTTACTTAAGCTGCGGTTCCGGGTAGCATGCGCTTCCGGTGCAAGCGATGCCACCGCGGAGTGGTGGCGATGGCACCCTTGTACCTAGAGGGGTGCAGCGCGGTGCGAGGGTGGACCGGGGTGGACCGGCACACCACCGGAAATGAAATGACGTTTCTGGCAGTGATCGGCCTGTTGGAAACAATACCGACCACGCACGCGTGCGCGGACACTCACACTCACACACACTCACACGCACACACACACACACACACACACACGCACAGACACAGACGCGCGCAACGATCGCGTGCCCGTCGCGGCGTCGGCAAATGGAAAGGATAAGCTGCCCCCAAATGTCCGTGCCGACTGCATCCCCGCGCTTCGAAATGACGCCGAAGGGTGCACGCCACTGCAGCACGCGGCAGCACGCGGCGGTGCCGTGCAGCCTGGGCCGTTGGTCGTTGGTCGGTGCACAGGGTCGTGTCGGTGCGATATTCGGCTGACCTCTGGAGTGCCCCGGCCGGGTGCCCGGTCCTGGCGGTCCTGGCCTGCCTCGGGGCCAATCCGGGCCAATCGCATGGGTCGGTCAGTAGGCGCGCCGGGGCGCGTCGAGGCGTGGCGGCTGGCAGCGCGACGCCGGCAGTCTGCAGAGCGTCGAGTCGAGTGTCGCGTACGCCCACAAGTGGCACTTGACCCATCGGATTCGCGCGGCCGCCCCCCGCCGCCCCCCGCCGCCCCGCTGCTGTCAAAGAGTTAACGCAGCTGGCCCCTCTCGGCAGTCTCGGCCGGGCGTGCAGCGCAGCGACCCCTTCAAGAGGCCTCCTCCGTTTGGAAAGTCGTTAAAAACGCGCAAGCGTGAACGCGAACGCGCCACTGGCGAGCGCGCCGCCGTAAACAATGCGAGTCGAACTCATAAACGCGCGCGGCCTTTGTTCGCCGGGCCGCTACAAGATCCTAATGAAAATATTTTTATACGCGGACGCAGTGTCGCGGAAGATGTCGCCGCCAAGGGTTGCAGGAAACAATGCGCGGGCCGGCCTCCCCGACGGCCACCCCGGCGGCCAACCTCCCCCCGCCGCCACTGCCGCCACCGCCGCTCGAGTGCCGCGTCCGACCGAGTCGCGCGCCCCCGGAGTCCTCTCTGGAGTCCCCCGCGCTGCCGAGGCCTCCAACTTCCTATGCAGCAGGAAGTGCGAAGTGCGAGTGCAGACAAGTGACACACAGTGACACCAAACGGCAAGCAAAGTGCAAACTCGGCCGGCCTGGGCCGCATTCTCGCATTCTCGTCGACCCGCAATTTTTCTCGGTTTCGCAGTCTTTCGCACCTGAAGCGGGGGTCCGCCCGCGCCCGCCATACAATGCCGCTTGACGCGGGGCTGTCGACATGCGGGTGCGGGGCTGGCGGGGCTGGCGGGGCGGGGTATTCTTCCTCTCCGTCTGGCCCGCTTGACCGTGGACTCCGTGGACCGGTTGGCTGGAGCCTCTGTGTCTGCCGTGTCTGCCAAAGCCAGGGCTGACCTGCTCCCCCTCCCCTCCCCTCCCCTCTATTTTGGCTCCGAAAACATCCTCGCCTGACCCACACCTCCCCGCCCTGGACATTCTTGTCGTCTTCTCCAGGGCCCCGTCGTCCGCCTTCGTCTTCCCATCGCCTCCCGTCGGGACGAACTGTCAAGTTTCACAATCGCTTCTCGGCTTGCGGCGCTCTGCTCGCCTCTTGCTTTACTTCTGCTCACAGCACGACTGGAAAAAAAATCGTTTGGTGGAGAGGTGGTGGCGCAAATCAACCCCCGTAGCAAAAACGCTCTCCTTATCGAAGAAGAACCCAACAGGGACAACTGGCTGCGTATCCAGGCCCCGACCCTTGGCTGGCCACCGCCAACAAACATGTCACTCCCCTGTCAAGCTCAACCCGATCCCGGCCGTGGAAACAGTCTTGGCGCCAGCCACCACTCGGGCACGGCCATGCCCCGCCCCGCCCGGGACCACCCTGGCGCCGCCGCGCCCCGACCCCGGTCACGGTGGGCGGGGTGTTGGTCGCCTCGCCTCGCCTGCCAGCATCGCCTGCATGTTCGGCACACAATGGCGATGGCGCGACGCGTGGGCTGTGTGGCCCTATCGGCTCCTGAGTGGCCCGTCGGCCCGTCCCGTCCGGCCACGGAGGGGCCACGGCGACTCTGCGGCACGGTGGCGACTCCTGGAAGATAGCAGCCTTCGTCCTGCGCCGACCCGACACTCGCCGCCATCAATTACTCCCGGCTATCGGCGTGCTCCCCGCTGGCGCTGCTGGCGCTGCTGGCCGTGTCTTCTGTCAGACGATTTCGCAGAGTCGTTCGGCTTGCTGTCTCTCTCTCCCCCATCCGGCACGCCAGTGTGCCAGAGACGGGGCGACGGCGTCGGCCGCTACCGGCCCCGTCCCGCGTTCAAGTCCCCGCCCGGCAGCGTAGGCCACCCTTCGGGCGCGGCGGCCAGGGGGGCTGCGGAGCGCCGGAAGGCAGGCGGGCCGTGGCGCCTGTTTGTCCGCGCCCAACGGCCAGCAGCTCGCTCTGTTCAAAGAAGCCATGCCGGCGCCCTTGCAAACTGACTCCAAGAGACTGTCTCTCTCGCACCCATGGGTCGTCCCGCGTATTGGTGCGAGGGAGACAGCAGAGGGACGAAATCGACTCTCGGAAACAGCCCAGGAGCACCCCGACGGGCACGGTCCGCACCATGGGGGCGCTGCTGGCGGCGCGGTACGGGCGTGACGGGGAGGTTATCGTGGAGGTCCTCGTTCGACTTCCAACCGTCCGGCGGGGTGCAACGACGGTCGCAGTCCAAGATCCAAACATGATCCAAAACAGGAGAGGCCGATGGTGGTCGAAGGAACCATGTACTGTGTGTGTTTTCAGACTATCAGTGTTTTCGAACCAACAAGTTCAAGTTGCCGGTGCTTTACCGCCGGCCGCAGGGAGAGGGGAGGAAGGAGGCGGGGGCCGGTGCGGTGCGGCGCTGGGGACGGAGTTGGCCGGCTCGCCGCTAGAGCGCGCCACCAGTGCTGCCGCGCGCCAGTCCTGCAGTCCTGCCGCGCTGGCGTCGCGTCAGCGTAACCGTCACCGGCCCGCCGGCGGCAGCGCGGCAGCAAGACCAAAAGCGCTGCATTTGCTTTCAAACAGTCCCTCGCTCCGGCTGGATTTCCCCGCAGCGTTTCCGCGGCCTCGCGCCCGGGGATTAAAACGGGGCGGACTTTTTGGCACTCGTTGTCGCGACGTTGAGCGGGCCAACGCGCCCAGAGCTGGTTCCCCGACCTAGCGTTGTGTAAGTGCAACGGCTTGCGCGGGGCGCGGCCTGGCGGCCTCAGGCCGTTCGTGGTTGGGGGCGCGAGGCATGACGCGGCTCTAGCCAAAACCAGCGAATCAACTCAAACTGGCGACACAGGCCACTGGCAAGACGCAGGCGACGACGACGCAAGGCAAGGTGCCGTTGCGCTCGTTGCGCCGGACGCGTGGCTGAAAGATCCATGCCGTCACTGTCGCGGCCTTTTAGCCTTCCCCAGCCACGGCCGCGGTTGCGTAGTGAAGTGTTGTTTGCGTTGCTTTTCTGCCCGTCTCGGACGGAGATGGGAATAGATCAGAAAACGCACCACACGCTATGCGGGAGGGGAGGGGGAGGGGGACGTAGACGCGGTGCCGCGGCCGCGCTGGCCGGCTAGGCCGGCGGAGTGGTGGGGGGACCGGCTCGACTCGTCACCGCGCTCGGCTTCAAGCCGGGCCACGCGCGTGGAGCCGCGCCGAGCCGAGCCGAGCGCGCAGCGACACGCCGCCGCCGAAGCGACCGAGCGGCCGAGGCCGAGCCCAACCGAACGCAGCGCGGCGCGCAGTCGGTTCTCAGTAGACGAAGGCAGCGGACGCGCGCCTGCCATCCCGTTCCGGCCCTCGCCCCGCGACAAAGTGTTAGTAGTGTCGTGAAACAAGCCAGCAGTTAGTGACCAGTGCGCCTGCCCTTGGATTACTCCAGCATATGAAATGAGTGTTCGTGTGTCAAATCCCTTTTCATTGACTGAAATGCGGCGTCTTCGTGAGGCGGTTGTGGCCCGCCCTTACCGGCCGGACCCCGAGGCCCGCGCTCGGATTTGCCGTAACTTGTGGGGCAAGTCCTCCGCGGACGACAGTAGGGCCTTCGCCGCAAAGGAGTTGGCGGAGCACCGGGAGCGGGATGCGGAGCGGTGGGGCTTCGACTTCGCCCGGGAGGTGCCTCTTCGCTACGGCCCCGGCGCGGGCCGCTACAATTGGAGCAAGGTCCTCACCGGCACCGTCTCGGCGGCCTACAAGATGCCCCGGTTGGAGCCTCTGGAGCCCCGGATGGACCGGAGGCTGGAGACCGCCCGCGCCACCGTCCCATGTCGCGACGTCCACCGGTGCCCCGAGCCTCAGCAGCCCGAGGCAAGCGTGACGGCCGAGGCCGCCACGCCCCCGGTGCCCGCCAAGATCTTCCCAGCGACGCTGGCGGCGCAGGACCTCAACAGTCCACCCGCCTCCACCACCAGCTCGGCGGCGGCCAGCCCCGCGGCGCCGGTCCGGCAAACTTCCATGACAGGTGAGCATTGTTGGCGGTCGCTCCGCCCCCTCCGCGGAGGCTTCGCGGTGCTTCGCGGTGCTTCGCGGTGCTTCGCGGTCCCCGTTCCCTGCCGCCCCCCGAAGCCGCTGCGCTTCCGCGCTTGTCTACTTTCACCCGGCGCGGTCGGCGAATCTGCGACCTGGCCCGACGGCGCCGTGGTGTTGGTGTTCTAGTGTACTGCGCGCCGAAAAAAAGAAACGGGGCCACGCGGCTTGTCGTGGCCCCGTTCCGTTTGGTAGATAAGGCGGCGTCCCAAAGCGCCTTGTGCCGTTGGCGGCCGTTGGCGTGGAGTGGGAGGGGCCGACGGGCCGTCAGGCACCGTCAGGCCGACGGGGTGCAACAACAGGCCGGGGGCGCGGCCCTAAGCGCTCGGCCCGGCATGGCCCATCACCGCGCAGCGTTACGGCGTAGCTTAGTTGGACACAAGCGGGGTGGCGATAGCGGCTGAGTGCGTTGGTTCGTTAGCCGTCCCGCATGCACCCCAGGCTGCCCCAGGCTGGCAGGCCAGGCCGCGCACCCCTCGCCGGTCGCGACGCGTGCCTGTCTTGTGCCGCGGAGCGCGGATCGATGGCGGGTCGATATTGCGTCGCGGGGGAGTGTGGGAGAGCGAGGGTGCGTCGCGTCGCGTCGCGGGGGCCGTCACGGAGCGCGCAGCGCGCTGCAGTTTGGCGGCCTATCTGCCGGCTATCTTATCGCGCTGCGGGGACGCGGAACGGCAGAGCGGCGCGGAGATGTGTGCAATCAGCAAACACGCTGACCCTACGCGCGGAGTGGCTGAGGCTGCGAGTTTTCTTCGGCCGCGCGGTTTTCGGCCGGGCGGCGCGGGGCTCCGCGGAGCTAGATAGGCCGTCTTGGGCTTGGCCGGCACCGGGTGCCGATACCGGTTCTCAGTCTCCCGAGGGGGCCGTGCTGCCCGATGGCTGCCCGGCCCGTCTAGTTTGGCTAGCTCGCGGCGGAGCGGCCTCGGCCCCGCTGTGCTCCGCTCTCCCATCCGCCACACGGTGCCCCTCAAGCCCCGCGGGTCGCGTTGCCGAGTGCGGGGAAAGCGGAAAACTGCACGAGGTTTTCCTGTGTGCCGACGGGCCGCGACGGGCCGACCCAGCTGTGTCAGATGCAAGCAAGTGGAGTGACCCCTGGGCGAGGGGAGGGGAGGGGCACTTACCGAGTTAAATCCCAGTGCGCCGTGCCCCTCCCCTCCCCCCGCCCTTTTGTGTTCGTTTTTGTGAGCGAGGGATGGATGCGGTGAGACAGCGCTGAGCACGGCGGGGGAGGGAGCGGGCGGCGTGGCGCGGCGTGGCGCAGGACAGCGTCCTTCGGTCTGTCTGGCTGCGAGTCCTGCTGCCGTCCGCTCGCCCCCTGCCGGACGCTGTGCTGAGCTGCGCCGCCTGACGCGTGGCCCGTCTGGCCCGACGCTTGACTATCATCTTGTGGAGCATTTTATTTTCTCGGGCCGGCTCACGTGTGCGTCCACGCCCATGGCCGAGGCTGGGGCCCTGTAGCCCTGGCCGTGCCCTGGCCGTGCCCTGGCCGTTGTGCTCTGTCTCTGCGTCTCGCGGGTCGTCCGGCCGTCTTGACGTCGCGTCAACGGGCCGTGTAATGCCGTGTGTGTCCGTGCGTGCGCCTCGTTGACGGCGTCCTCGTTCTCCTCGGCCGCGCGCCTTGATGGGGTGCGTTTCCCTTTAAACGGCCACCCCTCCCCACCCCCACCCCCGCCCATTACCATGTCGACCTTCGCGCCTGGGAACCGCCGGGAAGGGAACCGTCCCGCGGCCAGACAGCGATTCGCGGTGCACCTGGCAGCGCTGGCTGCGCTGGCACACTGGGGGATGCTGCGGCAGCGCGGCCAGTGCGCGTCGCTTCGCGTTGCTTGGCGTTGCCGCGCGGCGCAGGAAGTCGCCAACGGGGTGGTGGTGACGCAATGAAGGTCGTCGGACGCGAAAGCCGAATGCACTTGCCCCGCTCGCCCCCTCGCCCCTCACTGCCGTGGTTCGACTCTGAGACTAATGAGTGCTGTTTTTGTGTGTTGCAGAATTCCTTCAAGTCAGGAAGCGGTCAAGATCCGACGTGAAGCACGAAGAGAATCCTGCCAAGAGGAGAAAAAGCAATTCTCAGGCTAGTCATTAGAGTGGTCGAGATTGATTCTATTAGGTTGTAACCCCCTCACGTGGGCCTTTTTATGTGTTTCAAATCAATGTTTTAACTTTGTGAAATTTTAAATTGTTATTTTCTTTTTGTTCTGCGTTTCTCGAAATCATGTGGAATTATATTTAAGAGACCGCATTTTATCAATTCTGCTATACTAAAAAAATCAACTGTGCGTTTTTGGGAACGCAGCTTGTCTTGTCCTGTCAATCATGTCGTCCAGCTAGAGATAACGGGTTTGGCCCTTCCCCTAGACGGCCTCGCTGCGTCTCGCTTCGGCCGCCTCGGGGGACTTGGCCACGCCGATGCCTTGCCGCGGCCCTGCCCTCCCTCTGGCCGGCCTTCCTGGGCCTCGTCGCCAAGGCCGCCCCGAAGGACTGGCAGGCGCCGCTGGTCGCGCTATGCCAAAGGATGCTTGATTATTTCCTGATACTCCATGATTGGATTTCGCTTGTTTCTTTTATTATTTTTAACATGTTACTTAAGATATTTATATAATTAATTATCATAACACTGCTGTGATGTATTTTAATGATTGATTGTACTGATCTCAGCCCCATTATCTTTGTGTACAACGAAAACACTCGCAAAAAGGCAGGGGTGTGATTTAAGAAGAGACTGTATCTCTAAAGCCTTTTTAAACTTGTTTTCGTGTTTTTAAGTATAGGATTTTATTGTATATCATTGTTGGGAAAAATAAACTAATTACATTTTACACTTTGTTTAACTTCAAAAAAAATCCTTACATAACATAAACCCTAAGTACCGAAATGTAAACAGCAAATTAAATAATTCAAATTAATTTCTTTTTGATCGGACAGAAAGTTATCAATGCAATCTCATAAGAATTGTTGGGTCAAAATCAATGAAATTGAACGCGGATCAACAAAGTTGGTTCACGCCTAAAGGCAGTTTTTCAGACACAGTATATATACGCACTACCATCAAGGAAAAATTTAAAAATGGGAAAAAGAAGAGACGAAAAAGAACACCTGTGGAAGGCGGACTGACACTGGGGCCACTGACCACCAAAATAACTAACGCCCGCCTATGTAAATGAGGCCGCTGGGCGCGGCTGGCGCGACTGGGCGTTTGAACAATGCAGGGCCTTTTAAAAGGCCGGGCTGGGCGACGCTGGGCGTGCAACGACCGAACGGCCGCCTTACACTTGGGGAGGGCTGACTGTAAGTCGTTCGTGAGGCACACAAAGGCCGCCTTTGAGCCGAGCCCCGCTGGCCTCGCTTTCAGCCCCTCGCCGTCGGCTTGCCGTCGGAGCCGGGGCTCCCAGGCGTGGCAACGCCCGTCAAAGGCATAAATGCATGTGAACGCCGCAACGCGGCCCCGCAGTGTGCCAGCGGCCCCGCCGCAGTGGAGTCGGGGGACGGCCGGACTCGGGACAAATAGTTGCTCTCGCGGCCAGATTTCTCGACACCCGGCGCGGCATTACAACTCTATTGGGCGGTCGTCACGGCGGCCTGTTAATTGGGGACTCACTAGGGTAAGGCGGCCTCGTCCTAGGCTGCACGTCGCTACGCGCGTCTTCCGGGCCGATATGGAAATCGCCGGCGTATTTTACAAGGGGGACACGGGGGACGCGCGTGTCACGGGCGGCCGGCCGGGGTCGCCGGGGTGCAGGCGTTTTAAAAAACCGGGCCGCCTGCCTGCCTGCCTGGCTTCACGGCGAAAAGGGGATAAATTACAGAGGGGGCGATCGTAACAGGAAAACAAGGCAACTCTGATTCCAACTTCTTGGCGCCGGTTGGGCGGAACGGCTCGGAATGGCATTAGCGAAGTGGGGCAAGGGCGCGGCGAGGGAAGGCCTAGCCTAGCCGGACCCCAAACACGTTTAAAGGGCCGTCCGTGATAACAGCGCGGCACCGGCCGGCCTCGCCGAAGTGCCGTGGCGGTGCCGCGGCGCCTGTAGAGACCTGTGTCCTTATCGGAGCGGTGCAGAGTGCAGCTCGCGCGCGCCTCGCCGGAAGGGCACGTCCCTGTTTTTGCGGGGAGGTTGGCAGTGCCTGCGCGCCCCATGAGTGCGAGCGAGACAGAGCGACGAAAACGACTCTCGGAATGAGTCGGCTGGTAATCCGCGCGGCGCGGGGGCGGGCACACGCTCGTCCGTCGTCGCCCTGTCTCTGTCACCCTCACGGGGCGCGCCGTCGGGGTGCGAGAGAGACAGCGGCCGGTGCACTCGGCGGCGCCGACAAAGGGACCGCCGTGCAGGCCGTGCAGGCCGCGGTGCTGCAGGTCGTGTCGGAACGGCGGCTTCTTTTCGCGGTAGCCGACGGCCGATTCCACGGACGTGCGTGGAACACGAGGAACGGAACAACACCACCGCGGGCTTATTCTTCCAAAAGGACGACAAGTTGGGTTCGAACCCCTGCCGCTCGCGCAGTCTGTCCCCTGGCAACGCGCGCCGCCGCCTTCCTGCATGCACTCGGCGCGTGCAGCCCGCGGGCCTGGCCTGCCTGGCTTGCCTGGCTATGCCCGCCGGTGAGTCGGCACTCGGCAGGTGCATGTTGATAAGGCCTGGCCTTTGTGCCACGGCGGCGCAGCAAGGCTCGCGGCACTCGCGGCGGCGACACCCGCGGCGAAACTGCAACCAACTTGTCCGATCGCTTCTGACGCATTTCTTTTCGCCATGAAGCGAATTTCACGCTCCGCTTGAGCCAGGTCATCGAACTCGTGGCGCGGGGCTTTGGGGCTCCGAAAGACTGATGATTGAAATGAAGGGGCGGGGATGGAACAAATCCGTGGTTTTGATTATGATATTACATCCACACGTCGCCGGCGATGAGATTTTTCTTCGTTCGACCCAAGAGGCTTCTTCCCAAATCCAAATTGGGATTTTTGGCGGGTAGCCGCGCGGTAGCAGGCAGACTGCGGCAAATGATATGGGATTTTCGCTGGCCGTGTGAACCCGGTATAGCGTCCAGCGAGAGAGAGAGGGAGAGAGGAGCAACAAAAAACCCAAGCGGCGGGGCGGTCTCGGCGGGCGGACGGACGGCGGACGAGTCCGTGGACGGACAGCGGCCGTCAGGGACCAAATCCGACAGGTAATTGAAACTTGGCCACATGTCCAATTTGCCACTGTCCGGGAGTAGGCAGCAGCCAGGCCGCCTGCCCGCGGGGATTAGAGTACGGCTGCCTTCAAAAGGGGTTATGGCGGCCAATCTAATTGAACACTCGTCTGTAGACTGTTTCCGAGAGTCGTTTTCTTCGATCTGTCTCTCTCGCACCTGTGCGGGCCGTCCCATGAGTGCGAGAGAGACAGAGAGACGAAAACGACTCGTGCTGATGCTCGCGAGGGGCATTCTGGAAGAATTCCAGACGGACAACCCCAAGGGCCCTCCAGGTCCTCCAGGCCTCCAGGCCCGCCCCGTCTCTCTCGCACACCGCGGGACCGAACGGGGCGACGGCGCGCGCGCCACTGGTGCGAGAGAGACAGAGCGACGACAGCACCCTTGGAGCGCGCGCTGCTGTGAGGCCCTGTGTGAGGCCTGCGAGGGGCTCAGTGGGGCGGGGCGGGGTAACCGATGCCATCATGGAGTGGTAACTGCAACCCCACATTATGCAGGCCGGGGCTACCCTTGCTGCCCTGGGCGTCGCCGGGCGTCGCTTTACCGTCATTAGTAGAAATGCCGGGCCTAGAAGCGCCATGACGCATAGCGCCGCATACCAGAGCGCCATCGCCACGCGCTGCACAGCACAGTGTGTGGCACGGTGCACACGGCCCTCGCGGACAAAGAACGGCTGCAAGTGAGTGTGTTTTTCCGCTCGTCACGTCACTGCGCTATCGCTGCAATCGCTGCACCGTGTCCTCGGGACGCGCGCCGCGCCCCGTCCTGCTGTTGCTGTGCGCCTCCAAGGCTGCCTCCAAGGCTGCTGCCGCCCCACGCCCCGGCGCCGCCGTAGGGAGCCTCACCGGGCGCCCCGGCGCCCCCGGCCGCCCCCGGCCGCCCCGGGAGCGTGGCGCCAGCAGCAGCAGCAGCGGCCCGCCCACCGGCACCGCCGAGGGCACTGCCCCTCGTGAATGGTCTAGTTCGGGGCGATGATGGCCTGGCCGAGGCTGCCGAGGCCACCGAGCACCTGCAGCAGCCCTCACCCCTTCTGACCCTCAGAGCTCCGGCCACAGCCGGGCCACCCCCGACCCAGTGCCAAAACGGCCCTCCGTACCAGTCAGCGCGCCCCGCGGCCCGCGCAGTGCCCGCGCCCGCATCGGCCGCCGCGCTGCCGCCCGCTTCCCACGCGAGCTCGCCGATGATGGAGCCTGGCCGATCACGGCGTGGAGCGCGTGAAGCGCGTGAAGCTCCTAAACGGCCGACCCCGCCCGCCCCGCCGTATCACGCCAACTGTTACCTCACTCCGGTGACACCATATGTGGGAGGGGAGGGGGTGGGGGGTGTGACACATGTCATGGTCATTACCGGCGGCTCATCGGGCCGCTGTAAATCTATCCGGGGTGCCTGGCCGTGCCGGCCGTGCCGGCCGAGCTGCCTGCCGGACCGGGGATCGAAAACCCATCGGGCGACCGTTGGGAAGGCGGGGAAGGCCGGCTGCTGCTGTCATTACGAGAATAATTATCACGGAGGCGGTGCAGTGTGGGAGACTGCCGGAGCGTCTGCTGGCTCTGCGTCTCTGCGGCGCCAAGAGTCGGAGCAGAGCCCTAATAGAAAACGAAGTCCCTGGATGGCTCCTATTTTGTTCCTCCAAAGTCCACCGGGGATTTCAGGAGATTTGAAGTCCATACTTAGTCCCTGTCAAGTCCCTCCCCCGACCAGGTCCCTCCGAAGTCCCTGATCTGGCAGGATGGTCTGTGAAATCTCTCGCAAGTCCCTGAAAGTAAGCGTATGACCTCTCAATACTTTGACAAATGTATGCACAACACCATGCGTGTAGACACTTGCATGGACTCATATTCGTAATTCACAATGAGTTTCATTCAGTAAAGTTGATTGTGTGCATTGTATGAACGAAATCGGAATAAACCAAATACTGGTCACCTACTGTCAAAGTTATCATGATAAAAAGCAATGTCTTATTCAAATTTGAATATTGATCATCGTATTATTCTTGTAAATATGCATTTGAGGAGAAAACGGAGGGCACCGTTGCGTTTATCTGCCCTTAAAACCCCCTAGTACAACCATCAACCACGCAAAACTGCAACGGACAGAGCCTTGCGCCTGACTGAGCTCCGGCAGATAGTGGTAGGCCGGCTGACCCGATCCCTCCACGAAGAGCAGGCAGCGCAGTGGATAACGTCTCCTGTCAGTAAGATGAAGAACCAGGGTTCAACTCCGTCCGCCTCTTTTTCTTTTGCCTCGAAAAGAGACTTCGGAGGGATTTCAAGTCCCTTTGAAATCCCTTTTCACCCGAAATCCCTAATCCCTGAAATGCACCATCTAGATACTTCGGAGGGTTTTCAAATAAGGACTACAGAGGGACTTGGCAAAAAAGACTCAAGAGGGACTTCACTTTTCTATTAGGGAGCAGCACAGCGTGGACTTTGACTTGGGCCAGGTCTTCCATTGTGCCGGCCACACCGTCTTGCGTCTCTGGTCAGGGACGGGGCTGCTTGCTGAACCAGTGGGGTGGACGGATTCGTACTGCAGTGGAGCAGCGTCAGGTGGCAGACCACTCCGGCGATTCGGGGCTGGGCTCCTCCTAGAAGCCCTGCCTGGCCTATGCGTAGCCGAAGCCTATTTGGTAACA